TCTCCTTCCATTTCCATGCATTTTCCCTTCTCTCTCCCTTTCCCTCCCACCTCTCATCCCTGTTTAATGTTAATCTTCTTCTCATGCTCTTCGCCCCTACTCTGTTCTTAGTTACTCTCCTTACATCAAAGAAGATATTTGGCATTTGTTTTTTAGGGATTGGCTAGCTTCACTTAGCATAATCTGCTCTAATGCCATCCATTTCCCTGCAAATTCTATGATTTTGTCATTTTTTAATGCAGAGTAATACTCCATTGTGTATAAATGCCACATTTTTTTTATCCATTCATCCATTGAAGGGCATCTAGGTTGGTTCCACAGTCTAGCTATTGTGAATTGTAAATCCACTAACTCTTATCTCAATGATATTGAGTAATTATTAACTTATGAGTTTCGTTTTTTTCTTATCTATGAAATGGGAGAAACAGGAGCATCTGGGATTTTCAAAAATATTTGATGAGTTAATAAAAGGACAGCACTAAGTTCAGGGCTTACTATCATCAATTTATATAGTAGTCTGACTTCTTATTAATCTGTGAGTAAAACACAGCTACTACCACAAATATTAAATCAGACCTGTTGCATGCATTCTAGCTCTGCATGCAACCCTCTTTCTTACCAAACCCTGTGAGTTAAATCTAAAAGTGTGTCCTAAGTCTTCAAGGGCATAAATATGGTCAAAATCAAACTTACATTGAAGCATCCAGTTTTTAAAAATAGGAGGCAAGTAGGTATGAAAATTAAATGTGCACTTATGCTTAAAATGTCAGAATACAAACATATATACAGAAAAATATAGTTACCTCATCATTTTCATTAAAGACAGGACTGATTTTTCTAGGCCACATGAGGACAGCTGCATTTAAAGCTAAGTCTTCTTGAGGAAACAGAAAATTATCTAAAAAGTAACTCATTTGGCGTCTAGATTCCTACAAAAGAAACTCTAGATATAATATGCCATATAGAAAATTTGAGGCATTATGAGAAAAAAAATCCAAACATCTCTAATATTCTTTCAAATTTCAACATGACTCAGATTAGTAATTGGTATTTTATGTAATTCTCAAATCACATGGATATTTTAATAGTCATAGTATTAATTTGGCTTCAGGTCTTGCATTTGTATTTTTATAGTAGCAATAAAGCTTTTCAAGATTTTCACTTGCAGTTGGCAAAATAAGGTACTCTTGGCCCTTCTTGCATATGTCTGAAAAAAATGTTCAAATCCTCACCAACCCTTGAAACATTTTTAAAAGATTTTTAAATTCTTTTTATTTCTAGAATCAAAAAAATATTTTTAGTCTTTTGTGATAAATATTTTATTATCTTTAATTTTACTTTGCATCTTCAGTAATATTGTCATCTTTTTTGGCTACTTAACATTACAGCAATAGTCCAGAAGGAGTTTGTGGAGAATGGCAAAGGGAAAAAAAAAAAAAAAACTTAAAACACAGATTTATCTGATTAGAGAAGAATACTTTTTATCCCCTATTCCTTTTTTTTTTTTTTTTTTTTTTTGGTACTAGGAATTGAACTCAGGGGCACTCTACCACTAAGCCACCTTCCCAGCCCTATTTTTGTATTTTATTTAGAGACAGGGTCTCACTGAGTTGCTTAGTGCCTCACTTTTACTGAGGCTGGCTTTGAATAGTGTTGAATAGCAGTAGATAATAGCAGGCATTCTCATCTTTGTCCCATCTTCAAAGGGAAAGCTTTCCAGGTTTTACTATTAAATGTGACATCTGCTGTACATTTTCAATAGGTACTTTTATTAAATTCCTGAGTTCCCTTTTGTTGTTGATATGCTACTAGCTTTTAAAAAATTATTATGAGTAGGTATTGAATTTTATTTAACACTTAACTTTTGTGTCTATAGAGAAGCTCACATGCTCACAGATGTTTTCTTCTTTAATGTGTTAATATAATGAACTATATGAATTAATTTTTAAAGTTATATCTCTATATGTATTACATGTACATGTATATAATATGTAAAATCTAAACTTTAAATTAGCATTTGAATCTGAATTTCAATTCTTAAATATGATAGCACTATAGCACAACATATGGATCGATGAAAGCAATAGCGCCGGTCGTGGTAGTGCATGCCTATAATCCCAGTGGCTTGGGAGGCTGAGGCAAGAGGATCATGAGTTCAAAGCCAGCCTCAGCAGCTTAGCAAGGCCCTAACCAACTTAGTGAGACCCTGTATAAAAAATAAAAAGTACTGGGGATGTGGCTCAATGGTTAAGTGTCCCTGGGTTCAATCCTTGGCACCAAAAAAAAAAAAAAAAGGAAAGAAAAGAAATATATAATATTTGATAAGGACAGAAATAAGACTGTAATTATTTAAAAGTTACATGATGATATATACAGACATTCCAGAATAATCTTCAGATAAACTATTAAAATCAAGAAATTAAAAATATATTAAATTTTTTAATAAAATGAAACATTTTAAAGTTATCCTTGAGGGTGATGGATATTAAATTAGCATATAAAATAAATTATATTATAGTCCAATGTATAAAATAAACATCCATGAGTCCACAGTGATATAAATAAATGACTAAATAAATTTTTAAATGGAGGAATACAGACAAATCTCAGACATACGAGAATTCCAAACAAATTATATAGATATTCCATCTTAAAGGAGGGAGAGGATACTTTCCCACTTCTTAAGTATGGGCTGTACATAGTGACTTTCCAAAGAGTACAAAATGAGCAGGGTCTGATGACGCATGCCTATAATTCTAGTGACTCAGGAGGCAGAGGCAGGAGGATCACAAGTTTGAGAACAGACTCATTTGAATGAAAAATGAAAAACTTTTAAAAAGAGTTGGGGATGTAGCTCAATGTTATTAAAGCATCCCTGGGTTCAATCTCAAGTACACTCCATAAAAAAGAGACAGAGAACAAAAGAGAATGGGGTAAAAGAGTAGAGAGACTTGACAAACACTAGTTTGACCAGGTACCAAAACCAACATCAACAGAGACAAGTCATGTTAATAATATATGCCCTTGATATGATAAGATCACTTTACTCTGTGATCCTCCTCCAAAAAAATCCCCATACATAAGTCTCATCATAAGGAAAAATATTAATAGAGGGCACTCTATAAAACACATAACCAGTACTCCTCAAAACTATCAAGTCATCAAAAAGAAACAAACAAAAAGCTGAAGAAACTACTATCAGCCCCAGAAGCCTCTATGGAGAAATGACTAGATACCATGTGGTATATCATGGATGAGATGGATTCTGGAACCAAAAAAAAAGGACATTAGGTAAAACCTAAGGAAATCTGAATCAACTTCATCAGCCTCATTTAATAATAATGTGTCAATATTGGTTTATTAATTATAACAAATGTACCATATTAATGTAAGGTGTAAATAATGGGGAAATTAAGTGTGTTCAGGAAGGGGAGCTACTAAGAGAACTCTGTACTATCTAATCAATTTTTCTGTAAATTTAAAACTGTTCTAAAAAAGTCTGTTCCTTATTTTAATAACCTGTGTTTCTCTATTCAAGCAATGAATAGAAGATGAAAAACTTAAAAGACCATCTAAATGTAAAAGATATTAAATACTTGAAATTATCTAACAAAAAATGTATACAACTTTGACAGAGAAAACTATAAAAAAGAGATAATAAAGAGGAGATAAATAAATAAAAGGTCTATCATGAATTAGCTTTCATCTTGTAAATATGTCACTTCTCTCCATCACCCATTTAATTACTACATTTCTAATCAAAATGCCAACAGAATTTTCTGGAACATTAAAAGCTGATTCTAAAATGTTTATGAAGCTGTGTGTAGAAGAAGAGGAGTAGTGTGACCCCGGCCTACAGAGGACAAGGAGCAGAGCAATTGCTCAAGCACAGAGGAGGAGGGGAAGGAGATCAATGATCCCAGCCCAGTGCAACTGAAGGAGGAGAGCGACAGTGCTATGGGCCCCCATCTACCAACCGCGGCTCTCCCGTCTGCTTACATCTTGGGACACTGCAGCCACCTCCTTAACCCCCTGGGACAACAGACAGGGCCTGGAGGCAGCAGTGGCCATAGCACTGCACACCACAGTGCTGTATGTCCAAACAGTCTACCCAATGCCACCTCATCCTGCCCTCTCAGCCCTATCTCCAAAAGTGGTGGCCTCCAATTGGGACATCTCCTCCACCATCTTGGTTTACCTCCACTGCCACCACCATCATCACTAGTTGAGGCAGCTTCCATCTTAAGACAATAGCTAGGGCCTGGAAGCCTAACATTAAGATACCTACAGGTTTGACGCTGCTACCACCACCAAGTAGGGACATGACTGCTTCCATCTAGAGACAACATCCAGGACCTGGAAGACCATCACCAAGGTCCCTGCAGGCTTGGTTATACTAGAGGTATCCCTGCTAGCCTACGTCTTTTAATTCCTCTTGCACTCTTCCTGTGATTTAGTACCTCTATATTCTTACCTCCTGCCTCATAAACCCCACATCCTACACACACACACACACACACACACACACACACACACACACACACTACTCTCTCTTTGTCCACCATCAGAAACTGTAGACCCTTATCCAAACCTACTATTTATATTGTAGACATTAATCAAACACATCATTTCTGTTTATTGCAACAAAATTGTAATTGTCTAAATAGGAGCTATATGGTTTAAGACTGCATATTGTTTGCATTGGGTGCTGTAAATATGGATCTCCCTCTTAAAGGTAAGGTATCGGTAACCTGCATGGACACTACAAGATTATAGGTTAGAAACTATAATATCTTGGATCTGCACTGCTAGAGAGGAAGACACATGGACCACATGAAAAACCAAGAGAAGAGGCTGGGGGTATGGCTCAGCGGTACAGTGCTTGGCTAGCACATTTGAGGCTCTGGGTTCGATCCTTAGCACCACATGAAAATAAATAAATAAAATAAAGGTATTGTGTCCAACTACAACTAAAAAAAACAAGAGAAGAAAGTGCCCCAAACAAACCAAGATGCTACAATAATAGAATCCACTGACAGCACAGTAGATGAAATGTCAGAGAAGGCATTCAGAATGTACATAATTAAAATGATCTGCAAAGCAAAGAATGACATAAGAGAGCAAATACAGGCAATAATTGATCAATCCAACAAAGAGATAAGAAAGCAAATATAAGTAGCAAAGGATTACTTCAAGAAAGAGATAGAGGCTTGAAAAAAAAAAAAACCCAGAAATCCTTAAAATGAAGGAACCAATAAACCAAATAAAAATTCAATAGAAAGCATCACCAACAAATAGGTCACTTGGAAGACAGAACCTCAGGCAATATATAATCTTGAAAATAAGTTGACCACACTGTGAAGATGGTAAGAAACCATGAACATAACCTCCAAGAATTATGGGATAACATGAAAAGACCAAATCTAAGAATTATTGGGATAGAGGAAGGCACAGAGATATAAACCAAAGGAATGCACAATCTCTTCAATGAAATAATATCTGAAAATTTCCCTAAACATGAAGAATGAATTGGAAAATCAAATACAAGAGGCTTACAAGACACCAAATGAACAAAATTACAAGAGATCTACACCAAGGCACATTATAATGAAAATGCCTAGCATACAGAATAAGGAAAGAATATTAAAAACTACAAGAGAAAATTTCAGATTACATATAGTGGGAAACCAATTTGGATCTCAGCAAAGTTTTCAGCCCAGACCCTCAAAGCTAGGAGATCCTCCAACAACATATACCAAGCTCTGAAAGAATTGATGCCTACCAAGAATCTTATATACAGCAAAATTAAGCTTCAGATTTGATGACAAAATAACAGCCTTCCATGATAAACAAAAGTTAAAAGAATCTATAAGGGCTAGTGTTGTGGTTCAGTGGTAGAGTGCTTGCCTAGCACATGTGAGACACTGGGTTTGATCCTCAGCACCACATAAAATAAATGAATAAATAAAAGGTATTGTATCCATCTACAACTAATATGTGTGTGTATGTATGTATATATATATATATATATATATATATATATATATATATTTGTACAGAATTTACAACAAGAAAGCCTGCACTACAGAATATTCTTGCAAAATATTCCATGAGGAGGAAATGAAAAACAACAATGAAAATCAGCAAAGGGAAAAACTACACTAAAGGAAAAGCCAAATCAGGTCAAGTTTAAAGCCAAAAATAAATCAAAATGACCAGGAATACAAACCATATTTCAATAATAAATAAATATGTTTGAGTAAAGAACATATAGGCATATGTATTGTATATGTGTGTGTGTTTTATATATATAATATATATTTATAAATATATATTATATATATTTAAAATATAAATTTATATATATTCATAAATATATATATAAATATATATTTATATAAAGAGTGCTCACCTCACATGCACAAAGCCCTGGGTTCAATCCCCAGCACCAGAAAAAAAATGCACAGTTAGATTTAGGAATTGGGGTGGAATTAGAACAGCTCTGAAGTCTTTGTATAATCTTTTAAATTAAGCACCTAGAATTATAGTTGTGCATTTGGGCTACAGCTGTAGAGATTAAGAATTGTTGATTAATACTAGGGAATACCGTTAGAATTATGGTAATATATGGTAGCAATTTCTATACAAATAAAATGAATATATATAAATAGAGGTAGATATTTATGCATGTGTATATAAACATTTTAGAAAGAATAATAAATTTGTAAATATACAGGAGTATGTTTAGTATTTTCATATGTGTTACAGTTTGGTTTAGAAGATTTGGGTTTCTTGTAGTGATAGGATTATGGTTAACATTAGTCACATATATATACATACAAGTGTATATAATGATATATAAAAATACATATGTGAAAATATATATAGATATTCAAAGTAATATTTTTAGTTTACATTTGAAAGTTTTTGTTTAGGGTTAATTCAGAGTTACAAACTAGCATTGTGGTTAGGGTTATAGATTAAAATATATATGTAAATATGACTATAAATATAAATATATAAGCAAAATTATATATAAAAATATATACTTATATGTGCTTTTATCTCTTGTTAGGTTTATGGTAAAGGGAATTGTTAGGTTTTGTGTTAACGATAGGGTAAGCCTGCAGAAATGAACATATATGAACATATATATGAATCTGTATGTGAGTTTATAAATATATATCTCAAAATATACAGAAATATTCATGTAAAGTATTATTGCTTATATGTAACAATATTTATGAATCTATATTCCATAATGTATAGGTACATTCATGTAAATTGTTATAGTTTATAGAGGTTTCTGTGAGGCATATTGGTAGGTATAGGAATAAGTGTAGAAACATAGTTAGCATTAGTTTAGGTTTTGAACATTATTATCCAACTATATGAATATAATATAAAATATATATGTAAAAATATACATGGAAATATTTAAATGTATACGAATTTTTATATAGCTAATTTTTTGAGATGGATGTTTACATTGTTGTTTAGATATATTTTATGAATATGTAACTGAATATATATGAAAACTTATGAGTAGGATTTTGTTTAGCATTGGGGTACATATATACATGTTTATAAACATAAAACATAAATGGGTATTCAACGTAATAATTTTTGTTTAAAAGACTGATGGTTATGGGTATGTTAGGTTTAGTTCCAAGTTAAGGACTTGGTTGAGGGTAAGGATTACCACTGGAATACATATATCAATATAAACGTATAAATATAGAATTAAAATTATATATGAAAGTTTATAAATATATATTATTTTATCTTGACCTGGTTGGTGGAAACATAGATGCTCACTTCAAAAATATTTTTTAATTACATTTTACATACTATCAATATGTATATCATATTTCACAATGAAAAAAAAATTTAAAATATATAAATTAAAATTCTTACCTGGATTCTTAAGGCCAACTCTTGAATTCCTATAGTCCGGGCTTTTTCTACATAAGATATCAGATCCATCATTTCTTCTGTTGTTTCAGGGACTTTTAATGCATGATCTTTAATTGCTTCAAACTCACTGCAAATACTGACATGATTCTCTGTGTTACTATTCTTAACGTAATTAATTTTATGTTCAATAAATGTGTATTATTATGATTAGCATAAAATATGAACTGAATATCCTAAAAATAATTAGTTAATTCATTAAGATATCATATAATATTTAAACTTGTCTAATATAACTCAGTATACAAGTCTATAAAATTATGTAATATCTTCATGTGAAATTATGGCATATTTAAATTTTTTTTCTAGTAATCACTTCAACCCTCTTCACTACCAAGATAAACATACCTTCTATCAGTCAGTAATAAATTTAAATTTTGCCTCAGTTTCTACTAACTTTGTGAACTTCAGCAAATCTCTAAGACTCGGTTTCCATATTTTATTTAAATTAAGCTATTAATCTTGCTGGATATTGTTGTAATGCAATAAAAATATAAAGAGTCTAAAACATAGTATATTCTCATTTATCAGTAACTATAATCATTAGTTTAATTATTAGTGCCTTTTGTGAAACATGACCATATAGGAATTAAATATATCAAATCCTTATTTTTTTCTTTTAAATATTCTTTTAGTTGTAGATAAGCACAATATCTTTATTTATTTATTTTTATGTGGTGCTGAGGATCGAACCCAGTGCCTCACGCATGCAAGGCAAGCGCTCAACCACTGAGCTATGATCCCAGCCTCCTTATTTATATTTTTAATGCTACAATTCTCTTTTAATATCCTGTGTAGGAATGTCTTGGATACCCTATAGCAATTACTGAGTTAAAACAACATTTTATAGAATTGTCATCTTGTGCTTTAAAATACCTGTATTATCATGTTACTACCAGACATATCAGGGGGAAAAGGCCATGCCAAAAAAAAAAAAGTATAAAAGTGATGTGATTTTAAAAATAAATCTTAGTTCATGCAGGTATTTCATATACATTATGTGGAGGAATTAACTTGTTTCTTTAATAAAGACTTGGGTGCCTACAAGGTTGTAAGCACTAGAGAAACAGAAGCATATACAACCAAGTCCCTGCCCTAATAAAGCTTATATACAAGCTAAGGAGAGAGTCAAAAGCACATAAACACACATAATGTTAAGTAATAAAAATGTGCTATCTGGAAAAAATAAAGCAAGGAAAGTGGGGGTGGGGGGGAATGATGGAGTATAGGGAAAGGACCTATTTTATATAGGGTAGTTAAGGAAGGCCTCTCTCAAAGCTAGAGAAGAAAACTGAGTCATGCAAATATCAAGAAAGAGCTTTCAGGAAGAAAAATCAGCAAGAACAAAGGCCCTGAGGCAGCATTAAATTTGGCATACTTCAGGAATAGTAAACAGGCCAAGGGAGAGGACCTGGTATGAAACTAGAGAGGTTAGCAGGAGTCAGATCATGAAGAACTTTATAGTTAATTCTTGAATATCAAAAACAAAAGCGATGCCCCAGTGTGGATAATGCAAAAAGAGAATCTTGTAAAATTTTCTTCTTGACAGAATAGAATCTGTCCCTTGGGAAGGTATTTCAGCAGAAGTACAGGAGGTAAACAATATGGTAAGATTAAGGTGGCCCACTGCACTTAACATAGTGGCAACACATTTCCCCTATCTCAAGCATGGAATTTATTCAGGAAGGAATTAAAGAAACAACTAGGTAGAATAAACTGGGAGACTTTCCAGCTGCTCTTTTATTATGGGTTTGTAAGTTATAGTCATTTTGTTGGAAATAATAAAAATTTCCGGAAAAATCATAAGTACTATTTTTTAAAAATCTTTTATATATATTTTTAGTTTTAGATGGACACAATATCTTTATTTTACATTTATATGGTACTGAGGATTGAACCCAGTGCCTCATGCATGCTAGGCGAGCACTCTACCACTGAGCCACAACCCCAGCCCCTAAAAAATTTTTAATAGGTTATGTTAAACATACAACCATTTCTGAATTAATTATGCCATTATCATTGCTCTTAACAAAATTGTTAAGATTCTCAAGAAAGGGATAGGGACTAATACTTAACCATCTTTGATATCTTTTTGTGTAGTATGTTTTTGTCCTAAGTATACCTGACAAACATTTCACTTTCTGACATTCATTTGAATATTCATTTCAAAGTATGTATTGGATGCCTATTTTATGTCACTCATAAGGCTATATGCTTTACAAATGTTATCTGTTATCATAACAGTAATTCTAGGTATTCTTCATAGGTGACATAGTAGGAAACTGAAGCTCAGGGAAATCAAGTAACTTGCCCGCATAATAGTTAGTTAATGGCAGAGCCAGGATTTAAATTCAGTCTGATTCCAAAATACATACTCTTTGCACTCTGCCTCTGGGAAGATAAACATAATAGCTAACATCTATAAAGTACCTACCATATGTCAGACACTGAGCTAGGTATTATACACATATTAGTTTTAACTTTTACAGGAAGGTACAAACTCAAATTTTGCAGGGGCTGAGAGGAAACAAATGACTTAAATGAGTTTTGATGAGTTGCTCGACCACTGGTGAACAAAACACAGGACACATTTCCCATCTAAAGAGAAAAGTCACTTCTTAGTTCCTTTTACCACTGCAGGCCCAATATGGCATAGTCTTAATCTTTTTATTAAAAAAAAAGTAGGAAATCTAGTGGGTTGGGGGGCATGTGAGCTTTGTGTATGATCTAAATTTTGAAATGTTGACAGCAAATGGAAATTTTTTTAAACAAAATAAAACAATGTGAGAAAAACAAAACATATCTGCATGACACACACAGCTAATAGGCCACTAGTTTATTAATCCAATTTTATAGCTACCCTACAAAGTAGTTATCACTGTCTCCATTTCATAAAAAGAAAAATAAGCTATGTGATACAAATAAATATTTGGGTAAGGAATGATTACAGATCTTCCCAGTATCACAGAAAATATACCACCTTTTTATTGCCATATTCCCTGTGTTCAAACACTGACTTCTTTCAATGTCTTTTCTTTTCTTCAATCCTGAGTTGCCTTAAAACCAGTCTCAAACAGTATCAGACAAAAAGAACCCAGCCCAATGAGACTAAAAAGGAACCTCCTTAGGAGAGCAGCTAATGAGGAGAAATTGTAAGTACTTTCTGTGTTAATCTTTTCTTTTTAAATGAGAATTATTTTAGCAAAATATTTCTTTTGGCCCTATTATTCTGAGGATGGTAATTAATTCTACTTACCATTCATTTTCTTTTCTGTGTTTTGAGGCTATGTCATTTAATAATATATTTGCAAAGGCTTTTGCTTTATTTGTCAAGCCTGTCTTCAAATCTTCACAATCCAAACGCACCATAGGGTAATGCATCCACTGAGGCAATAGCATTATTTCTGAGGCAAGACTGAAAAATGATTCTATAAACTTAAAATAAAAGAAAAAAAAATGCTTAGAATTTTCTAATCATCAGTGATTTTATAATATTGCACTGTATGAAATTATTAATCATGAATATAAACTCATTTCTTTTTTGCTAAATAAATAAAAATTTTTCCTTTCATTGCATAAATCTTTTTTTTTTTTGGTTCTGGGAATTGAACCTAGGGCCTCAGAGACACTAAGTACATGCTCTGCCACAAAGCTATACCTTCAGCCAACATAAATCTTTTTCTAACCCATCTTTTCACTAAGTAATTTGTCAATCTACTAGTAAATAAATATCCAGTATGATGCCATTTACAGCATTTCACTAGGTGAAATTTTCCTCGATAATTATTTTCAAAAATTCTGCCCAGGGGGTTAGCTCAGTGGCAGAGCACTTGCCTAGCATGTGTGAGGCACTGGGCTTGATCCTCAGTACCACATAAAAATAAATAAATAAAATAACAATATATGTCCATCTAAAACTAAAAAATATTTTTTAAAAAAATATTTATATATTTTTAAAAAATAGTTTATATATTTATATATTTTTAAAAAATAGTTATTCCCAGAGCCAACTCATTCCTCTCCATTTAGAAAGAAACCTATAACATGTGACAATTTCTGTAGCTAATATATATCTGCTTTTATCATTACTGATGCCTCACTAATGATTCTAGTTCAGTATTTAGGAAAAGAAATGTAAGAAACTTTTTGGTTCAAAATAATCTAAAAGGAGAGAAAATTGAGACATTCTGCTATTACCAAATATCGAAGATACTGGTTATAAATTTCTTAACACCCAAATAAAGGGATAATTTTCTTTCTTCTTTTTTTCTTTCCCTCCCTCCCTCCCTCCCTTCCTTTCTTTCTTGAAATTGAACTGAGGGGCACTCTACAACTGAGATGCACTCCCAACTCTTTTTTATTTTGGGGAAAGATCTCACCAAATTGCCAAGGTTGGCCTCAAACTTGGAATCCTCCTGCCTCAGCATTCTGAGCTTTTGGGATAACAAAATTGGCAGGGCATGGTAGCTCACGCCTGTAATTCAGAATTATAAGTTCCAGGCCAGTCTCAGCAACTTAGGGAAGCCCTGTCTCAAAATAAAAAATAAAAAGGGCTAGGGATGTAGCTCAATGGTAGAACACCAGTGATTCAATCCCAAGTATTGCCCCCCTCAAAAAAAAATTTAACTAGAGATAAAAAGGAACACTTCAAAATAACAAAAAGGGTCAATCCACAAGCAAGATATATAACATTTACTTACACATTTGCACCTAACAACAGAATACTAAAATACATGCAACAATAACTGAGAGAAATGAAGCAAAAATAAAAATAAACAATTGAAAAATAGTTGAAGATTGCAATATCCCACTTTAAATAATGGATTGAACAACTGGGCAGATACTCAAAAAGGAAACAAAAGACTTGACCAACACCATAAACAACTAGAGTACCAGACATAAGAAACACTTTACCCAACAAAAACAATGTACACTCTTTCAAGTACACAGAAAACATTCTCCAGGATATCCATTTACTAAGGAATAAAACAAAATTAGGTAAATTTAAAAGGGTAGAAACTATACAAAGTATCTTCTCTAACAAAGTAAAATGAGGTTAGAAATCAACAAAAACACAAATGTGTAGAAATTAAACTGTCTTAGGTTATTGGTAAAAATAAATCAAAAGGAAAATCAGGAAATACTTTGAGATTAATGCAAATGAAGGCAACTACTATATAAAAATTTATGGGCTGCAACTGAGGCAGTGCTTACAAGGAAATATATAGCTATAAATTCCTATATTAGGAAGAAAGTTCTCAAATGATAAACTGAACATCCACCATAAGTCCCTGGGAAAAACTAAAGCAAACAAAAAAATAAAGCAAGTACAATAAAGTAAATAAGAGATTAGAGTGAAAATTAAATAGAATATTAAAAAAATGAAGAAAAAAAATCAATAAAACCAAAATCAGTTCTTTGAAAAGAACAACAAAATCAACAAACCTTTAACTGCAGTGACTAAGATAAAAGATGATGCAAATTACTGTAATCAGAAATAGTAATAAGAAATAGAAGAGGAGTATGATCAGATCAATCTAAGACAGCATTTGTGGAACTGGAAACTACCTCTACTCCTAATCACCTGCCTACAGAAGAGGAGAAAACAGAATCTAATTATCAGGAGGTTGCTAACTCATAACACTATATAAAACATTTACAGAGTAGATGGGCACTCTCATTTTTAAAAAATGATTAAAGTAACTTGGCAACCAAACTTTTAACTGATCTCTAAGTTGGATACTGTTGAAGACCATTTGGGCTCTCCACAACCATAACTAGTTGTCTAGTAATTTAATGCCTCTCTGTGACTACTCACTTTTTAAGGATGGTATTGATCCTATATGGGATGATGAGAAATACAAACGGGGTAGAAGATGGCTCATTATATTGAACAAATGGCAGAGATGAAGTGACCTGCTATGCCTTACTGTAGAATCTTTTGATGACTATAGTGATGATGTTTGTGGAGCTGTTGTTAATGTTAGAGCTAAAGGTGGTAAGATAGCAATATGGACTACTAAATATGAAAAGAGAGGCTATTACACATATAGAGAGACTATACAAGGAAAGGTTAGGACTTCCTCCAAAGACAGTGATTAGTTATCAGTTCCATGCAGACACAGCTACTAAGGCAGCTCCACCACTAAAAACAAGTTTGTTGTTTAAGACTGCATCAAGGAATCCATAATTGGGAACTGAACCAAAACTTCTTTAAAAGCAGAGTGGACTGCATTCAAATTTGATTCCATCTGAATGTTGCTAAGATATAAAAGAAGTCCCATTTGCCTTTGTCTTGTACTTCTTTGTTCATTTTTGAAAATTTTTATTAGTGTTTCCACTGTTCCAATCAAAGAATTACAGCCACATCATCCCCAGAAGCCCTATATGTGTTCCTGGCCCACTCTTAATTAGTTTAGTTGAATTACCATTACAAACACATTTTACCCATTCATACTATTCAAAAGAACTTACATTTCTATACCTTAAAGGAAAATAATTGAGTTTACATTCCATTGTATGCAGGGACATATTTTGCTGCTTTGAAAGAATATGATGCATACAGGGTTTTTTTAAGCAGTTTTCTTTGTTTCCTTTTTTTAATATTTATTTTTTAGTTTTTGGTGGGCACAACATCTTTATTTTATTTTTATGTGGTGCTGAGGATCGAACCCAGTGCCCTGCGCATGCCAGGCGAGCACGCTACCACTTGAGCCACATCCCCAGCCCAACATCTTTATTTTATTTTTATGTGGTGCTGAGGATAGAACCCAGTGCCTCACGCATGCCAAGCTAGTGCTACCACTTGAGCCACATCCAGAGCCCTTCTTTGTTTCTTTTGACAGCATTATCTTTGCTGTTTTCTTGCTGATGGTGGCTAGATTTTAGTTGTTTCCCTACTTGATAACATCAGTGACTCTGATTTCAGTTTCTCATTTGTTTTGTTTTTTCCTAAAGTAACATTGGTGAAGGATCCAGGAATATAACACAAAGATGGAATAAACATTAATTTTTGTAAGGGAAAGAAAAATGAAAGAGGACATCCTGACAGAAATAAAAAGGATCATAAGGGAATATTATGAACAATTGTATACAATAAATTACATAACTTTAGATGAAATATATAAATTTTTATATAGACACAATCTACTGAAACTGATGTGATAAAAAATAGATTATCTGAGTAGATCTATGAAAAGTGAAGAAATTGAATTAATAACCCAAAAACTATTTACAAGGAAAGTCCAGACCCTTCATTAATAAATTATACTAAGCACTTAAAAAAGAATACCAATCATTCTTCCAAAAATTTTTGAAAAGTTTTTAAGACCAGTGTTACTTTGAAATAAAAAGCAGACAAACTATAATATCACAATAACAGAAACTACAGTATCTCTTATGAAGATGGACACAAAACTCAACAATATATCACAAACTAAATCTAACAACATATAAAAATAATTATATATCATGACAAAGTGAAACTTATTCCAGCAATGCAAAGTTGTTTTCATCAATTAATGTAATATATCCTATTAATAGGATCTGATCATATATATAGAAAATCTTAAGCTATCCCCTAATAAAAGAACTATTCAAACTAATATACAAGCCAAGCAAGGTTGCAGGAAGCAAGATCAATACATGAAAATCTATTGCATTTATATGTACTAGCAATAAATAATCTAAAAATAAAATAGCATCAAAAAATTAAATATTTTGGAATTAATTTAACAAAATAAAAGCAAAATCTGCATTCTGAAAACTATAAAATATTATTAAAAGAAACTCAAGAATATCTAAACAAATGGAAAGATATTCCATGATCATGGATTAGAAGACTTACTATTGTTAGGATGCCTATAGTCCTCAAATTGATCTACATATAAATTCAACACAATCCCCATCAGAGTTCCAGTTGACTTACTTGAAGAAACTGAGACAGTGATTCTAAAATTCACTTGAAATTGGAAGGGACTCTGAATAACCAAAACAATCTTTAAAAACCAAAGCAGTAAGACTTGTAATTTCTGATTTCAGATTTTACTACAAAGCAAAAACAATCAAGGAAAGAACATAGATCAATGGAATAAAATTGAGAGGCCATAAATAAAACCTTGCATGTATGGTCAATTGATTTTTGACAAGGGTATGAGGATTATCCAATGGTACCCTTGTTGAAAATAATTTTTTTAAAATTGTGCTGGGGCAACTAGAGAGTCATGTGTAAAAGAATGAAATTAAAGTTTTAGCTCATTACATATGTAAAAATTAACTCATCAAATCAAACTGGAACAAAGATAGGAATGTAAAAGCCAAAACTATAAAATTCTTCAAAGAAAACATAGGAGTAAATTTTCATGACCTCATGAAGATTCAGTCTATAACAATTATGAACCGTGAAAGCAATATACTAAAGAATCCAGGAACAAAAC